ACAGTAGTGTGTTAACACGTAACGTAAAACATTTCCAGTTAAAAATTTAACATTTACTTTTGTCACTTTTTGAAACAAAAAACTACTTTTTAAAAATATTTTTGTTCAGAATTCACGCAGTTTATTTAGTCAAATAATAAACTGTCAAAAGTAAAAATAATACTAAAAATGATGCTGAAAAGTACCGTGCGTTCCTTATGCAATCAAATAGTTGATGGCCTAAAGGGTCATTTTTCTGCACTTTCCTTGTTTTAAAAAATGCAAAAGGCTGTTTGTTAACATGTAAAGACTAAAAACTGTCAAAAAATATCTCATTAAAAATTTTTCTTTCCAATACCAAAATCTTATTACCCGAGCTAAAAAATCCTAGAGCCTTATTACTCACCACAATTAATAAAAATAATTATTCTACCTATTTAAAAAGCTTGAAGATTTACATGATAATTGTCAGGGTTATATAGTAGAAAGCTGATCCCTCGCTTTATAGATTTCTTATTCGTTGAGTTCGACGCTGCTGTTTCGATCTTGATAAATATTCTACGTCAGTTTCTTGACGCCTAAAATCGTATTTACTTAAAGCATTTGAAATTTTCTTGCAATTTACCCTCTTGCGAGTATAGGCATTGTTGAAACTTTTGTAAGTCCTAAAGGCGATTTTTTGTCATCTTTTTAAAGTTGAAATATATTTGTTCCCAAGGTAGTTCGACGTCTAATGACCTTAAGAAGGACCGATGAACTAAACTATTTTTTGACTAAAGTTTCTAGTAAACGTGACTGCCTGTATACCACAGGGTGATTTTCTCTGGCCTGCTGTTGTAGCACCAGACTAATCAGGAGAAAAACTAACACGTCGGAAGTGTTGGAGCTAGTGTTAGAGCTTTTCCATAAGGTCTCCTGGTGTGACGTTTTTTTTTCCAGAGTTCAGTCGTTTTGTCTTTTCGGTGATCTAAAGTGGGGGACTGGTTCGTGATGCTTGTCCGTTGGAGACTGTTCCGTTTTCTAAAGCTTTTTTTTTCCTTTTACAGCTGTTAGGTTTTGCCCAGCGCAGATATCGGAAAGGATTGGCTATCCTTGGTTGAATTTTCAAAGTTAAGAGGGTAATGTGGGGTTGTCGGTCGCCGGGGGTCCTTGCCTTGCGACGAACAACTTGAAATGATAGTAAAAATGTATTTGTTGGTAAGGTAGTTTAACGTTAGATGGCCCTAAAAAGAACCGATGAGATTGATGTTAATTAGGTAACGTAAATACTTATGATAACCCTAAAAAGGGCAGGTGGTGATACTTTCAGCCATTTCTTATTATTATTCTTAATGATTGAGCTGGCTGCGGGTAGCTTGACTCTTACCCTCGGAGTCCCTGCTTACGAAAATCGTGCAGAAGGGAGATACGCCTAATCAACTATTCACCATTGGTTGAAAAAGTGGGCTTAAAGAATACCTTTCCTGTGGGTACATTGTTGAAATAAACCATTGAGGAGTAGGGCGTTGTGGCTGCCCAAATTCCTCAGAGTTTTTTTTCTGCCTTGATGTTGTAGCAAAATGTGCTCTGGTAGCACTAAACTGGT